AGTAGGATTTATATTTTCAAATTAAGGCCCCTAAATTTCAGCATCATCCGATTTCAGCATCATCCCCGACATTTATTGCTTCATTTTTATTATATTTTTATTACTTCATTTTTATTCATTTTTATTACTTCATTTTTGTTATTATACTTTATTACTACATTTTCCGTTAGTTTTTCCACCCGATCTGTATATAATGAATCGCTTCTGTAGTAATAATGAGTAAGAATCCTAAGTAATTCTCATCGATCAGTTAGTAGATAAAACACTGTAATAAATAAAGTCTCTCTTTAATAATCGCTCTCCCAATAATCCATACTTACCAATTCTCTAAGTAAAACCCATCCAAGTTTATGTCAACGGTGCTGACTAAATTGGTACGAGTTCCCTAGATGCTCTCCCAAACAGTTACACCTGATAATTGTTGTTAATATGATTACTAATTTTTAAATATTAATTATCACGTCGGGATTATGGTTTTTGAGAGTTTGGATGTCGGGATTTTGTGGTAGAACCCAAGAAAACAAATTGAAAAATTGAAAAAACGGCAGTCAAACCCCACCATAATGCATTAATACTGTAATAAAAATATCGGGAAGACGATTTTTTACTTATAAGTGCCCCTAACCCAACCCTAACCTTAACCTAAAGTGGCCCTAACACAAAAGCTAATCGAGCAAATTATTAAGAAATATGAGTTGTCCCGCTTTAGACGTCCCCTAAATTTTGTGGTGGGCACATAGATGCACGCGATTTTAAATTCTATACAGAGGTCTGATTGTTTTGTTGTTTCCGCATGATCTTGAAAATTTGAATGGCCAGCGAATTTGTTTAGAGTAGTACACCAATATGCGACGCCAAGGTAAACTCGACTTCAATCATATAAAATTGATGTGTACGAAGCCTGGTTTTCCCTTGGTCTCGTATTATATAAAATATATATTAAAAATGAGTTGATGATTATCACCATCAATTAATGCTGAAGTTTAGGATAGAATTTAATACACAAAACTCAAATAATCGTGAAACTTTTATGGACGTGCTATTAATACGATTTGGAATAGATCTTCCAAATAATCCAAAACTATTATTCAAGTTATTACAATTCGTAAAATTGAGAATGGCTTTTAATCATTACGTTTTATTAGATGTGGCTCAAACAACTGAAGATTCTTTAGAGTGTTTCTATGAACAAATAAAAAGCTATTTTAACCATTTTAACTCTTAAAAAAAAAGCTCTTTAGTTCTAAAACAGAAAACATTGCAGAAGCTTTTTATCATATTACTATATTAACACATTTCTAATTTAACATTGAAAGTGCAAAGCATTTGCAAAGACTTTTTATAAAAAAATATCACTTTAAATAATGAGATAGACTATTTGCACTCAATGAAGAAATGCATTAGCAATGCTCTTTGTAAAATGCTACTATAACCCTATTAAATCTTAGTAATAAGCAAATTAGTTCTGAAGAAAGAAAAGCACTTTATAGAAATATCACTTTAAATCTACTTGAATTTTATTATAACAAACTTTTATTTTGAAGCGGAAATGCATTAGCGGAAGCACAATCGCTCCTGTCGCTGGTAATCGATGCCCACCCTATTTAAAAATTTCCCGATGTAGATTAGATTAATAAGAATACTACATTAATCTACACTTTATAAAAAATACCACTTTAACCTACTTGAATTTTGATTCCAGCAAATCCGATCCTGAAACAGGAAAGTGTTAGCCGAAACACCTATAAAAACTCTACCTCAAAACCCTTATGGATTAACAATAATAATAACGATTATACTACTTTAGATAAATTAAAAAAATTGCTTAAAAGGAACATATGACTGATTTTTGATCTTTTTAATGATTTTAAACAGTCAAGTTCAGAATGAGATTATTAAAATTTGAATATTACATATAATGTTACAAATTATTACAAATATAGAAGCCAAAATAAATAAGTTTTATCTATGAAAACGATTAGATAGAGCGTTTGTCAAAATCCCTAACAATTACTTATATTAAGCTTATTTTTTTATTAGTCGTCAATTAGCACTTTCATTTTAGGTGAACTAACGATATCCTGTGTTTCAATATTCGCCTCTTCATCCGGTGAATTTGGCTTTGCAGACGATTTAACAACTATTTATTAAGTTAAAAAATGTGAATCGGCTAATCACATTATCAACTTTGAGTGTTACTATTAAATAAAAGAAAAACTTACAAAATTTCTTCAACCCTTCCCCAAAAGCGTTTAACATCAAAATACCATATACAATCGTCGCCTGATACGTAGAAAAAAGATAGTAAGAAATATCTAATTTGAACAATGATAAATGACTATTTACTCACCGAAGCTAGTATAATAAATAAGAGTGCTATCCAAAAACACGAAATCAAAAAATAAATTAAACCATTATTTGCAAAGGTAGTTAAACATGAAGTAACAAATAATGACAAAACATACCCCAAAAGGTTAAGAAATACCAATGAAGCCAGGCACTCGCATAAACAACCAGAATGGCATCAAAAATGTAAGTAGCCCATAAAACAAAAAATATATACATTCCAATTTTCCATTCGCATCTAATCTAAAAATTTAGATATATTAGCGTAACTAATTTAAATAGGACAAAATAACTTTGAAAAAATTAAAATTAAATAATTACTGATTGATAGGCTAGTAATGCTGTAAAAAAGACTAAAATACTTTCGATAGTATGAAAATCCCATAAAAATTGAGAAGTTTTATCATAAAGCATCGGCCTTAGACCATTTAGAATTACGAACAGAAAGAAAAAATATAATTCATATTTCAGCAATGTTACGAATATAAGACGCTTCATGTACAAAGCTTAAGAAAGAGGAGAAAATTATTGGATAAAGAAGAGACCAGATTTAAAAAGAATAAATTGAAAAGAATGAAATAGCTACCTTTAAACTTCAAGTCAGCACCAATCTTTTTGTAAATCTTCCAACCAAATTGTTGATACAATTTGAAAGAAATAAAAGACGATAGCAAAGCAATAGCAAAATAAACTGCAGAATATGGAATATCAAAATAACGAAAAGTGAGATCATATTGGGGAAATTGTTGACATGAAGGAATTGCTTCAATTC